ATGTCATTCTTCAATAGTGAAGCACTGGATACAGGGTGGATGGAAGGAGTGAGGAGGCAACTTGAGACGGTAGGCCACCATCCCAACCTTCCTTTCATCTCAAAAGCCCATAGTAATGTGGGAGAGCTTCTCCACTCCTTCTGCTGAGCTAAGTCTTCTGTGGTAAGATCGTAGCTTTCCAAGTATACCCTTTTCTCCCACCTTTCAATGGTTAGCATCTTTTGCGGTGGAGGCATTCCGCCTTGGTTTTCAATGATCCCCTTTTTGTTTTTCTTTGGGGGGCCGGCCTCCAATAGGTGTTTCCCTCAACTTCTTCCAACACCCTATTCTCTCCTTCAAGTATTGATCCACAACGATTTACCGGGGAGTCCCCGTCTGATAGTTTTTTTACCAACGCTGGTGTCCCTCCATAAAGAATCTGAAAGGTGTGAATGAGATGCGGTATGGTGCACGTGTTGTAACTAATACTCGCCCCACTGGCAGCATTTGAACCCCCTGTTAGGCCTCTCCCCACCACGAAGCATCTCAAGTAAGTCTCCACGCTCCTCGGTTACCACCTCTGGGGACTGTCGTCTGTCTGGGGTGGTAATGCTGTACTACGCTTCAAGAATGTACCCTGCATCTATGAAGATTTCTTCCAGAAGAAGGCTTCAAGATACTTTGTCCGATCTGAGACATATGGATTGGGGACCCTGCAATCGGAATCACTTCTTTTCATAAAGTAGAGCTACTGTGGGGGCTGAAAAAGGTGTGTGGTAATGGAATGAAAATGCACGCATACTTGCGTCAAGTTTTACACGCCACGCTCTAAGATCAGCGGAACATGTAGTGAGGAAGATGGTGGAAGGCTCAAACAGCCAGGGATTATTCGGGGGTCAGGGCACGACTTGGCGTAATCCTTGGCAAAATGGAAAACTACAAGTGTTAGACTTCGGCTTGTGCCCTAGTGGTTTGTTGCAGCCCCTTGTGCTTCCAAACAAGATTCTGGGAGGAAGTCACCCTGACA